GGTAAAAATTCCTCACCAGCTGGAAACACTTTCTCTTTCCGTATCCTTCTGTTTTGGAGCTGCCCCAACTTCACCAGCCTGGTGGCTGGACTTTTTGTCGCCGGCTTAAAGAACTTCTCTTGGATCTATCAGGAACTTTGTGATGTCCCTGAGATCGGCAAGACGTATTCTTCCTGTTCACCGTCTCTGCGGGACGGTTTAGGTCCGATTGGACCACCCAGCGGCAAAAGTATCAGCTGCAGTCTTGGAGCATTGAGACCGTGCGCCCATATCGTCGCGACGTTGGATCTTCCTCAATAGCGCCCCAATTCTTGTTGTCAAATTTACATGGTACATTACCCTGCCTATGCATCAGATGTTGCCATGAGACATGGAAAGCCATGCAATTCTTGCACTATAGGCATTACAGCGAAATAGCTTGAACAAATGACTTGACTGATACACATCTTTCCCAAGCCAGCTTTTATTGTATATACTTACAGGAGGAACTTAGGGTCTTATAGTTTTCTCACAGCCAGTAAGTTGGGGGTGCTTATATAGATTTGATGTTCTTTGTGCCATGTGAATTGTTGCTCTTCCTTTTACAGCAGGGAGAAGAGACTAGCAGCTCTGTTCCAGCAAAGTCACTGCCTTTCCCTGCTGTGGCAGCTCTTCAATCTGGATGTAGCCGGAAGTAGGAAAACGTTCACGCGTTTGGCAGCCCTCATGCAGGTGAACTGTGCAGAGGAGTCTCAAGATGAATCTCAGGTATACTTAGATAGCTTTCTTTTCTGCCTTTGGAGACTATTCCCAGTCTTGTTTTGTTCTTTCTCTACACTAGAGAGAAAACTGGTATCAAATGACACCTGACAATTCATGCTGTAGGTAATTTTGTTTGGATTAGCACTCTCATGGTTTGATCAATTGTTCTTTGGGTACTCTGTCAATTAGATATATTCACAATGATGATAATTAAAAATCATACCTTTAATGCAGAGGTCAACTGCAAGGATTCTTGTGCATATTATTGACTGTAATACAGAAACAGGACTTGGGTACTATCTAAACTACTATAAGTAATAGAAATAAGCAGATTTAAATCCAGATACATATAGTAACTTGCAGTGGTTTACTGTGGATGAAGTAACTGCACTATTAATTAATAGTTGATTTTCTCATCTATATATAAAAACGCAAAAACATTCACGCAGGAATCATGAAATCTCCAGAAACCTAAAGCCTACAAATTGAGATTTGGCACGTATGTTCCTCTTGGCTTCTAGGTACTCGGTAACAAAGAATTTTTTGAAATGACCATCAAACCTTTAGTATTTTGTATATTATTATTATTATTAACACACTCTGATGCGAAGGAGTTAGACGTTCTACTCCTCCTCACAACCTGAAAACGTGGACATGGGCGTGGCCAGTGTGTGACTCATCTGGCCTACTGGCTGGGAGATTGGAGAGGAGCCTGAGGGAGAGAAGGTGATAGGATAGGAGGGGCTTCTGTGGGGAAAACCAGAGGGAGACAAGGGGATAGGAGAGGAAAAGAGGCTTCTGTGGAGCAAGCCTGAAGGAGAGAAAGTGATAGGGGAGGTTTCTGTGAGGCCAGGCTGAGGGAGAGAAGGGGATAGGATTGGGGTGGCTTCTGTGGGGCCAGGTTGAGGGAGACAACTTCATAGGAAGGTGGGGCTTCTGTGGGGCAAACCTGAGGGAGACAAGGTGATAGGATAGATGGTGCTTCTGTGGGGCAAATCTGAGGGAGAGAAGGGGATATGAGAGGAAAAGAGGCTTCTGTGGGGCAAGCCTGAGGGAGAAAACATGATAGGATAGGTGGGGCTTCTATGGGGCAAACCTGATGGAGAGAAGGATATAGGATAGGTGGGGTTTCTGTGGGGCAAATCTGAGGGAGAGAAGGGGATAGGAGAGGAAAAGAGACTTCTGTGGAGCAAGCCTGAGGGAGAGAAGGTGATAGGGGAGGTTTCTGTGGGGCAAGGCTGAGGGAGGGAAGAGGAGAAGAGAGGTCAATGGTAACTATTCATTAATTTTCAAGCTGTAAGTGTCGATTTATCAGAGCACAGGTATTCAGCTAGTTATCTTATATTCTAACATTAATTTACTGCCATATATTTATTACTTAGGTTAAAGTGTCTTAGCTTATTTTCTAAATACAATTTTAAATAAAAAGAAACATAGTATAAAGAAAAAAAAGAAAAAGAAAGATAGGAAGAAGCAGCCACAATAGAATTAAAATCTCACTTCACAACTTTAGAAAAAAGGCATTAATGTTGATATCAGCCAAATATATATTGGAAGAAGGTGCCATGGTTACATTACCTAATGTTCAATTCTTTGTTTGCTCTATCATCTGAATTTATTATATAACTCAAAGTACATTAAAACCATTCATACAATCTCATACTGTAAATGGATTCCTGTAGGGATAGTGGGGGTTTTAAGTTTTCTTGAAAATTCAACCATTTGTTTGAGGCAAATTAACAAGATACTAGAATTCACAGAACCAAAAAAACCTGAGAAGTTCAGATATTCTCATTTTTAGTATCAAAGATCTTCCAGAACTATTCTTATCAATTTTGGTCTTCAAATTGAGTGCCAAATTGAAAAAGTTTGAGGAAAGATCAAGATCTTGCAAGTTTCTAACTAAATCAATATTAGGTTCTTTCCACTAAAATGTTCTTAATAGGTACCAAAGTTCATTTGTGCCTTTATTTGTAATGTCATAGATAATCTCATCCTATATGGATTTCTCCCTCTGCTATCAAATGATGGGCTGCCAACATGAATGGATGAAGTATGAGTTAATGGCCATCAAACGTAGTTCTCATCTTCAAGTTGTTGGAGGAGGCTTACTGACAATTGCTAAACTAGCATCATCATTGTCTTACATGAAGCTTTGTTTGGGGAACATACCTTTAGCCATCCAACTGGGTAAGTTAGCTTGACAGCTTCTAATGCAGCAAATCTTGGGCTCAAAAGGTATTGATATTTTTGGACTGCATTTCTTTTTAGGTTATCGTGCACACGAGTTATATGAGCAGCTGAAGAGACCTAACCTTGATGCTACTGTGCTCCATGACATTTTCAAAGCTCTTTATCTTAGCACCAGGTACTTGGTTGTATCTTTCTTTTTTCACAAAAAAAAGTGGCTTTTGGAATAATAAAGTTGGATGGGAACTTGGAGGTTATCTAGACCAGTGGTCCCCAACCTTTTTGGCTTGGTGGCCTGGCGAGGGGTGAGAGGATAGTTCCCTGTGAGTGGTAAGTGGGTGTACACAAGTGCTCACACTCCATTTATGCGAGCGGCAGGTGGATGCATCTGCTGCTCCCACAAAGGGAGATTCATACATGAGTGCAACATGGGGCAGCCCTTGAAGAGCATTCGGAGACTCCAGCTTGTCCAGAATGCAGCCGCGCGAGCGATTGTG